CAGCAGTAAACGTTGCTTCTTGGGAATTTTCCCATGGCAGCAGAGGCCCTATGGATCTTCATTCATCTGTAGTGACAGCGGCTGTCTCTTGCCAGGCCAGGCTGGCGATGCACTCTGGGAGTTGTTCCTGAGGCTCACTTTATATCCTCCTCTCCAGCCATCCTCCCAATATACTACCCTTAATCCCTTTCCTCATAAACCATCTAGAGTGGATTCTGTTGTCTATCATTGAATGCTGAATAGTACAGTAATTGACACAAACAAAATGGGTGGCTAGTGCTCTTTTTATGGAATTAAGCCAGGCTTTGGATAGTACAAATGGGACCTGTTCATCTATTTTGGTCTCAGGATTCTTATTATTCATAGTGCTCTGATTTCCAATTTGGTGTTGCGTCCTGTTATTGCAGCCATACCCTCTTTTGTATACTTTCGTCCTGATAGTCTAAGACTTCATCATAATCAGGGAGTCTAGTACAGGAGTGGCATCTTCACCATTGTCACTGACCTGTTTCCATTATGCTTTTCAAAGATACTGATACTTCTATTATTAATGTAGTCTTCAGAGCTGTGGGGTAAAGAATTGTCCTCTTAAGAGATGTAGTTAGTGTGTATGTTGAGTTAGGGTTACAAGTGATAAATTCACTTCAACAATCTTGTCTCTAAAAGTTTTTGAATTCTTCCTCTCCATTATCTGAGCTTCATTTATACCAGACCGTTCTTGAGTATAGATTTTTTAAAAAGATTCATTCACATATTAGAATTACAGAGAGAGAGAGAGAGAGAGAGAGAGAGAGAGAGAAATTTTCTATCTACTAGTTCACTCCCCAGATGGCTGCAATAGCCAGGGCTGGGCAGGCTGAAGCCAGGAGCCAGCAGCCACAGGCCAGGAGCTTCCTCTGGGTCTCCCATGGTGCAGGGATCCAGGCACTTGAGCCATCCTCTCCTGCTGGTGCACCTGGGGGTGCACTATCAAGGAGCTGGATTGGAAGTGGAGCAGCTAGGACTCGAACCAGTGATGCTGTGATGCTGGCACTACAGATGGTAGCTTACCATGCTATGCCACAATGCCAGCCCTGGAGTATAGATTTTGATCCACCAAGAAAGTAACTTTTTGAGACCACCGTAGTTGCTTTTTTTAAAAATTTATTTGACAGGTAGAGTTACAGACAGTGAGAGAGAGAGACAGAGAGAAATGTCTTCCTTCCATTGGTTCACTCCCCAAATGGCATCAATGGCCGGAGCTGCGCTGATCCAAAGCCAGGAGCCAGGTACTTCTTCTTGGTCTCCCATGTGGCTGCAGGGGCCCAAGCACTTGGGCCATCCTCCACTGCCCTCCCAGGCCACAGCAGAGAGCTGAACTGGAAGAGGAGCAACCGGGACTAGAACCGGCGCCCATATGGGATGTGGTGCCGCAAGCGGAGGATTAATCAAGTGAGCTAGGGTGCCGGCCACCTGTAGCTTCTTGAGTTCGTACACTGAATCCAACTCGTCTTTCAAATGTCCCTGCATAAATTCATTTAGCTCCAACCATATTTATTCCTCCATCTCTGGACTACAATCCTCAACAAAATATCTAGGCATTTGAGACTATAAATTACTAAATTATTTTATTTCTGCTACCATCAAATCCTTCCTTTCCTAGATTTTACTGTGTAATTGGCCATCTGAAACAATTGAAGCAGTCCTTTCAAAGAAAGTTTAGTTGTTGCTCCCATTCTGTTAAGAAAGAAATCCAACAGTTGACAGGCTCTTCACGTTGGACTTGATAAGTCCTGTTTGGATCGATAACTGAATAACCCATAAAGCTACTATCTTTTAGTTGGCCCCTAATCCAGCAAGATGCCTTCAGCTCGTCTCAGTTATGGTGCCCTCAGCTCGTGCTTGGCTTTTGTGATTCAGCATGTTCAAAGGGTCCAAAAGAGCTTAGCTTATCAGGATGTTGAATGAAGTCTGTAGTAGGATTTGACTGTGACTTTGAAGTCAAGGACCCTAGGAATTTGGAGCAAAGCTATGACCTTTTCAAGTAACCTTTTTTTTTTTTTTTTTTTTTTTATGAAACTCTTGGCTGGCACTGGGTCATGGTACTCACTGAACACTTGAACACAGCATACCAGAGACCCAAGCTGTTCACCATGGACTGGAGTTGTCCGATCCACTAACCAAAAAATCACTCCTGTCTAGGATCATTCCACCATTACTGGCCCTGGCGTGATCTGAAGGCAATGGTTAAGTTGAATAAACAATGACTGGCTCACATCCTTCTGCCCTCCCACCTCTCTCAACAACAGCTATGGCCTAGTGGTGAGTTCTGCATGACCAGCTGACAGAGGAGATAAAAGCATCTCTATTCATGTTTAAATATATCAGTTTGAGATGAAGATGACTAATGCAACAGGATTGTGAAAAATGCAGACAGCCTAAATGTTCCACTCTGCCTAGAAGGTGAGATTCCAGAGGTGCAGATCTACTGTGACTCATGAGCTGTGGCTACTGGTTGGATTCATACAGTCAGGGGTTTGGAAATATTATCATTGGAAGATTAAGAAAGAGACAACCTGATGAATCTCTCTGAGTGGACTCAGAATATGAAAATATTTGTGTCTTATGTGAATACTCACCTACGACCTTACTGCAGAGAAAGATCTCAGGAATCAGGAGGGCAATGGTAACTAGCCCTGAGTGAGTGTTAGGCTGTCCTTTCCCTCTACTCCATTATTGTTCAAAGGACTCATGTATTAGGTAGATAGGTGGCAGCTGCAGAGGTTACAAAAGCATCTGTCAAGGCCACTCCGACCACTGAACTTGACCCTAAAACTTTCAGACTGCCAGATCTTTTGCTATGTGGTAATATATTGTTTATATTAGATCCCTTCTTTTCTGGAGAGGGCAATAATTTTCCTCACTGAAATAAATTTATTCATTCAAAAATTGTTAGTCATCTACTATGTATCAGGACCAGTTCTAGGTGTTAGGGATATATCAGTGAACACAAAAGACCGAGGTGGCTGCCTTTAAGAATCTTACTTTTTAGAAATAGTAATCATAATAAGCAAGCACATTTTATAGTATGCTAGAAAATGGTAAGTGCTATGGAGAAACAAAGTAAACTGGGTGATAGGGATGGCAGTGCAGAAGAGAGGGAAAGTAGTTTCCAAATGTACATGTTGTTCAGGGTAGATCTCAGAACCTTGGTGGATATGTGGGAAGAACATTCTAAGCAGAGGAATCAGCCAAAGGCCATAGAGGGAATTTTTCTGATGTGTACAAGAAGCAACAAGGAAGGCAGAGTGTCTGTGGTAAAGTGAGAGGAGGTCAGAGAAGCCACAGGGTAGTAATCCGATAGAACCTCTAGGACACTTGAGGACTCTGGCTTTTAATGCAAGAGAGCTGAGGAGTCATTACAAGCTTGGACCACCATGATCACAGTGCTGAAAATGGGTTGTGGGGAGGAAGCAGGTGAAGGAGACAGGAAGCTGCTGCTATAATAGAAGTGAAAGTTGCTTTATGTAAGGGTGGGGGATGATGGTCAGAAAATGAGGTAGTACTCTGAGTATTGATGCTTCAACTTTTGACTGTAGACAAAGTAGAGCATAAAATAATACCCCTTCCTCCTACAATGTACCCGTTACCCACCTTCAGAAATGGAGCATCCATAGCCACTCTTGTGTCATCTCAGCCCACTTCCTACCTACCCACCCCATCAGATCAGTTCAGACCAAATTATATAATTTAATCTCATCTATGTTAATGCATTTAACTGAATACTTCAGTATGAGATGCTTTTATTTTTATAAGGACAACCATGGTACTATTATTTATATACAAAACACAGAATGCTTTTCCAATATTGCCACACAAATTTCTCTTGGCATTTTGTGATTATTTACTTGAAATGTAGAGAGACAGAGGCAGCGAGGAAGAGCTCCTATCTGCTGGTTCACTCCCCAAATGCCCATGGTGTCCCCACACTGGGGTAAAAGCCAGGAGCCTAGAATTCAACCCGGGTCTCCCACCTGAGTGTCAGGGACTCAAATACTTGCGTCATCATCACTGCCTCCCAGGATGTGCATTAGCAGGAAGCTGGAACTAAAAGCAGAGCCAGGACTTGAACTCAGATACTCTAATATGGGATACTGGACATCCAAGCAATAGCTTAACCACTTCATCAAATGCCCCTGCCTGTGAGTCTTCACTTCGCTGAATTTGCTTGAGTCAGGATTCAAACAAAAGCCATCCATTCGTTTGGGTCAGCTTGTCTCCAGTCTCACTTTTTAAAAAGGTTGTCCCACTTTTATCCCTTCCCTTCCCTTCCCTTCCCTTCCCTTCCCTTCCCTTCCCTTCCCTTCCCTTCCCTTCCCTTCCCTTCCCTTCCCTTCCCTTCCCTTCCCTTCCCTTCCCTTCCCTTCCCTTCCCTTCCCTTCCCTTCCCTCCCCTCCCCTCCCCTCCCCTTCTCTTCCCTTCCCTTCCCTCCTCTCCCATTTTCTCCCCTTCCTTCCTCCTTCCTTCTGCCTTCCTTTCTTCTGCCATTTATTTGTTAAAGAACATAGATCATTTTGTAGAAAAAATTGTGAAGAATTTCCCTACAGTTTTCACTTGTTCATTGCAGTTCCTTGGTGTGATTTAATGTGCTCCTTTGTCTCCTATGCTTCTGTAACCTGGTAGTCAATCTCAAGGGTACATGGAATTCGGTTTTGACATTTGTGGCATAGACACTTTGTAGGTGGTATCAGATACCACCTACAGGAAGCACAAAACATTTGACTGTCAGGTTTTTTTTAAGTTAATCAGTAGGTGTGAAATCAAATATCCATATAAAATATTAGTTTTCTATTTTTTTCATTCCTCATTCACTTATTGGAAAAATAATTGTCACATCAACTTTTTGATAACTCATAGAGTTTCTATGAAAAGGCATACCTACTTCTATTGAATAAGAAATAGTATTGGTAGACTACAACTTCTGCCAGGGGTGCTCACTGCTGGGGAGTTGGTAATTCTTCCTAGGCCTTTTCAGTGGACAGACCTAAGAAACACATTTTGCTTTTTATTATTTAATTTTGTCTTTACATATTGTTTTTTTTTAAAAGGCAGCATTTCTCAAGAGTTTATGTCCATATTTCCAATATAAATTTAGGTTTACAGAGTTGTTTCTTAACTTCTTTTTTTTAAAGATTTATTTCATTTATTTGAAAGACAGAGTTACAAAGAGAGGTAGAGACAGAGAGAGAGAGGTCCTCCATCCCACTGGTTCACTCTCCAGATGGCTGCAATGGCCGGAGCTGGGCAGATCTGAAGCCAGGAACCTGAAGCTTCTTCCAGGTCTCCTATGCAGGTGCAGGGATCCAAGGACTTGAGCCATCTTCCACTGCTTTCCTAGGCCATAGCAGAGAGCTAGATTGGAAGTGGAGCTGCAGGGACTCGAACCAGCACCCATATGGGATGCTGGGGCTGCAGGCCAGGGCTTTAATCCACTGTGCCACAGCAATGGTCCCTTAACTTCTTGATTTTATGTTTGTGCCTCTTCTCTCTAATGTTAAAAGCCTTTGTCCTCAATGTCATTAACATAACTACATTTTACTTTTGGAAGCTCAGTCTAGAACCTGCTTCTCTAACTCTTCTCATGATTCTGTAGAGCATTAATATCCTCGTTGAAGTTCCTGTCTCTGTAAACAATTTGAGGCCCATTTTTTTTGTCTGCATCTGAAACCTGACAGTGTGAGCTTTGTAGGCTGAGGAGATGGGCTAGGCACTGTCACTGTGCAACTGCTCACAGTTCTAACGACTGATGTAGGTGATTCCCTAGTGAAAAATGTAAATGCATTAAGCAGCAATCATGGTCACTCACTCTTCAACTTCTGTGCCAATCCCAGTTCATCAAAAGCTGTATTTCTATTTTTCCAAAAGTAATCTTTTCTCTCCTTATTCCCTACCCCTAACCCAAACCCTATGCATTAGGTCAAGCCAGAGTAGCTAACAGTGACTTCTTCTCTGAAGCGTGGGTGCCAATCACTTTAGAAAAGTCTTTCAGAGGCCATCCATTACCATTTCAGAGGGAATGAGCCAGCCTAGTTCTTGCAGTGAATGAACTTAAGAGAGATTTGGAAAGCTGGAACTAACTGGTCACTCCAGGGACTTGAGGACTTGGGGCTCTGGATCAAGTCACAAGGGTAGGACAGTCTTGCCACCTTTCATGGCATTTTCCTCCTTGGAGCCAACCTTTTCAGTTGATTTATCTGGGAGCTTTGTCTTCACCTCAGAGTAGATAACTGAGGCACACTGGAATGGAAGGAAGATAAAAGTAAAAGTGGAAAGAGATAGGGAGTAGGAGGAGGTAGGAAGTAGGGGGAGAGCAAAGAGCGGGGGAATGAAACTCACGTTGTCCTCTGGAGGTGTGCTGGAGGTGTTGGCTGTGGAAGGAAAGGGAACCACGTGGGCTTAAATTCACTTAGATCCCAGGCTGCCAGCTTATTGGTCACAGTCTATTATAGTCATGCTTTCTCCTCCCAAACCCAACATGTCCTACAACACATTTGGCTTCTGTTTTACCATTTCTGAACTCAGCCTTCTTCAAGTTCTTCTCAAGCTCCATTGATCTGTAAAGTTCTCTGTCAGTATCAAAGAGACCACTTCCTCCACCCACTGTGGAGAGAGTTATTTTTCTCTTTGTTTTAATTCTTACTTCTCTTAACTTAACAGTGCATCATTCTCAACATCCCTGTTTCTTTGGTAAGTTCCCATTAGGGCTCTCCACGTGTACATTCTGTGGGAAAAAATTCTCTTTCACATTAGCGTGTTTTAGTTCTGGATTCTATTGCTATGTTTTCTTGGAGATGGGGGTATATGAGAGGAAAATGGAGCAGATATAATTTCTCTGATCATGTGTATTAAAAATTAAGACACTCAAAGAAAAGGGTAGCTCATCAAAGCGACATGGCTTCTTTGTGGTGAGATGGAGCCGGAAGAGGCGTTGTACCCTGGGGCACTCAGCATTTCTCATTTCTGTTTTTTTTTTTTTTTTCTTTTTGACAGGCAGAGTGGACAGTGAGAGAGAGAGAAACAGAGAGAAAGGTCCTCCTTTTGCCATTGGTTCACCCTCCAATGGCCGCTGTGGCCGGCACGCTGCGACCGGCACACTGCGCTGATCCGATGGCAGGAGCCAGGTGCTTATCCTGGTCTCCCATGGGGTGCAGGGCCCAAGCACTTGGGCCATCCTCCACTGCACTCCCTGGCCACAGCAGAGAGCTGGCCTGGAAGAGGGGCAACCGGGACAGAATCCAGCACCCCGACTGGGACTAGAACCCGGTGTGCCGGCGCCGCTAGGTGGAGGATTAGCCTATTGAGCCGTGGCGCCGGCCCAGCATTTCTGTTTCACCACATTCTTACAGTAGGCCACTTGAGGCCACAGATGATTTTAATGATGCGAGAAAAGCTGTATACTTACTCCTCCAGAATAGTGTCCTATGCACTGAACTTTGCATGTGATTTCAGGGGCTTCATGCAAACCTTGAGGACTGACTGAAGGGACTTTTCTACAGATCATTAACACAACTAGTCTCTCAACAGAATGGTCACTTTAAGCAGTGTTTTGATGAGTGTGTCAATGATAGAGTGTGAAGAATGGCAAAATGATCAAGGGAGCTCTGCAGGATGAGATGTACTCCTGCACTCCATCAGCCCAAGAAAGGTGAGGCCACTGCTAATTCTAATGTTCAAAGACTCCTGATAAACAATGGCTCTGGAAAGCAGAGTGATAGACAAACCAGGCAATCAGGTGGTACACGTGAGTCAAAAAATAATAAAAGGCCACAAACAGTAAATATGGTGATGAGACAGAAGACTTGGTCTAAATCTTGTCTTTTCCTGGCTTTGTGACCCTGGAAATCTCCTTTGCCCCCTCTGAGTCTTATGTATTTCATATATAAAATGGGTTACAATTAACAGCACTAGGTTGTGACTGGAATTCCCACTAGGTATAAAGTTATTGGTAATTTTAAGTTCTCAAGATAAGATAAGAATCTATGTATATGTAGGAGCTTTAAAAATTTTGTGGAAAGTGGAATAAAAGGATGTATATTTTGGTGTAAAACTTTGTGAAATCTATGCAGAGCTTTTGCATAATATGCATTTTCACAAGGATTTTGAAGACTCTGATTATGCACAGACTTTAAAATGTGTCAAAAATACACTTATATTTAAAAAGGAAATAGAATGATTTGTTTCCTTGATTCCAAGAGTCTGGGTTAATCACCTAGATTGAGGAATTATGGGGGGGGGGGGGAAGGAGTGTTTGTGGGAGAGGCTTCCTTGGAAGGAGAGATCACTTGCTCAGTTTTCATCCGGAAGCTCTACTGAGGGTCTCTCTCTCTCTCTCTCTCTCTATCCATCTCAGGAGATGGTTAGGGAACCCTCAGAGGTGCTTCTTAAAAATTTTGAAATGATTTCCCTGGCATTTGGGAAATAACATCTCATACCTAAGAGAGCCAAAGATTAAGAAAAATGAAATAGGCCTGCTCATTCTGGCTAAGACGAAATAACAGGAACTATATTTACCTTTCCATTTTTAACAAACAAACAAAAACCCCAAAAAGACAAAACAATGATTTTCAGGCATTGGACATCAGGCAGTATATACCATTGTGGGAGAAGAAAAACAAAGGAAATAGACAAGCGAGCCCGACAGTTGCACCACATCACCACACGGGGGCAGTTTCTAAGCTGCAGCACAGGTTAGGGAGCGCAGAGTCTGCCTCTTGCTGAGGCAGCTGGAATTTACAGCGCAGAGTCCCACAGGGATAGCAGTGAAGCAGACTGAGAGATCTGGATGTTGGTGGAGAGGGTCCTCAGGTCTTTGGCTGAATACTGATAGGCACATGTGTGAGAGCAAACTATCATAGGCCAAGGGAAGAATCACCAGAAAGGAACAGGCAAAATAATATCTAAAGCTCATGTTGATCTTGTAGAATAAGGGGTATCTGACGTGGAATCTTCAGAAATGCATTGCTTTAATATTTAATCTAATAATCTGCAGAAAAGATTAGCTCTGTTCTGAAGGTTGATCGGGACCTGCCTTTTTAAAATCAAGATTAAAAGTAAGCCTGGAAAAGATACATTTCATACCCAATAATTTAACTTATTTTGCTCCAGAACAAAATCGAAAAACCATCAATAACTAAGGAAATTCACATTTTCTAGCACCTAATAAAAAATTGTCACACACACACAAATATGTACATACCTACATATAGTCTCTGACTGATGATGATTTAAGATTTTTCAATATGCATTCAGTAGAAACAAAACTTTGCATTTTGAGTTGTGATCTTTTCTGGGACAAGTGATATGATAAGATACTCTTTTGAGATGCTGGACACTGGCAGTGAGCTCCAGTTTTCAGTCAGCCATGAGAGTGTCGACATGAATAACTGATGTTCTACAGGGTATTGTGTGACTATACCATGATTAGGTGGATCAGGTATATTAAATGTGTTTTTAATTTACAGTGTTTTCAACTTGTAATGGGTTTATTCGGATGTAACCAACTGTAAGTTGAGGAATACCTATACATAATGTTATATGAAAATATTTTTAGTACGATGCCTATCATATGGTAGATACTTTATAAATATTCATTTATTTGGATCTGCGGGCAGCCTTGTTTTGTACACCATCAAGAGCACAATAGCTTTCAATAGGATGCTGAATTTTTGTCCTAATCACCACTTATGGCTTATTACATATTGGTTAGTGTCTACCTTCCTTTAGAATTTAAGCTTCATATTGTAGGGTTCTGTTTATATCTTAATTATGGATTGATGTCCCATACTCACAGCAGTACCTAGCAATAGGAGGTGCTTAATATTTATTGAATGAATGAATGTAGTTTTCATCCAGAATCTCTTCCCAGAGACGTACCTTTCTCTTTGTCTCCCAGATGAATTATCTGGATCTCAGAATATAACAAGTCTTCCTCTTTGGGGTGCACTGGAAAGAAAAGACAACACTTTCTAGGTAGTCTCCCTGAGTGTTCATTGCTACAAATGCACTTTCCCACGTGTCTCCACTACAGCACTGGACCACAATGAAGTTGTTATTTCTTGGAGATATCTGAGTATGGAACACCTTAGAGAGATGAGGGATACATCACAGGACACCAGACACTTTATCTTTGTCTGACTGAGGCCAGGGGAAGCTTCTTACAGGGAAATCCTCACCATTGCCAGGTAACAGCTGCAGCTCCACCTGGACAGGGCAGGACCTTGTTGGCCCTGGGAAGGGAGGGCTCCTGTGAGACAGAGAAACATAATTATCCATGGAGCATTATAACATGCACAACAGAGAGACGGCCAGGAAGAGAGGCTGAGGAAAATGGGAACTGGGGGAAGTCAGCAGTCAGCAAGAGCTAGGAATCCTGAATGGTTTAATTGGAGCTTCAATAATATATATTATGATAGATTCTATATATATAAAATCAGATTGATATTTTGAAAGAAACCCTGGGGTTGTGGTATGAACAAGTTGCCTAAAAGCAAGGCCAAAAAGTCTCTGATATCCAACTAACAAGCTCTTCTTAAAAATCAGCCTCATTATCAGGGAGTAGGGACTAAATGTTTTTACACTGTCATGTCAGAACAGTTCAAAAAGGAAGTAGAATTAATCTATGCCCCAATGTCTGGCTTCAACCCAAGACTGAGACAATGACATAGAAGCAAAAATAAGATGACATGTTCCAAACTGAAGGATACAAAGTCTGTGTAAATGTGCATGTCTAGGGCAAAAGGAGTATTGGAAATGTGGACTTCCCTGGAAAATCTTGAACGTTTGCACAAAATCTAGAATCTAGTCACACTAACTGTAAGACTAGTTAAAAAAATATCCTGGGGCTGGTGCTATGGCATAGTGGGTAAAGCCACCACCTGCAGTGCTGGCATCTCATATGGGTACCAGTTCGAGTTTTGGCTGCTCCACTTCTGATCCAGTTCCCTGCTAATGTGAATGGGGAAACAATGAAAGATATCCCAAGTGCTTAGACCTCTGCACCCATGTGGGAGACCTGGAAGAAGCACCAGGCTCCTGGCTTCGGATGGCTGTTGTGGCCATTTGGGGAGTGAATCAGTGGCTGGAAGATCTCTCTCTGCATCTGCCTCTCTGTAACTCTGCCTTTCAAATAAATAAATCTTTTGAAAAAAGAAATATCCTCTGGGTACCCAAGAAAATATGTAACTTTTGGTATCACCTGTTTAGATGTACCTGTTTAGATGAATGGATTAATTTTAGCTAAGAAACTGCTCTAAACACATGCAAAATCTATAATGCTACTAGATGATAAGAATTGTTCTAGGAAACTTCATTTTTGGTCAATTAAAGGAATGGGAAAATAGAACACCTAGTAACAGGATCACAGAGAGGTAAATTGGCCTAATTTTGCAACCCCGCAGTTTTTCATATTGAGTGTGTGGGAAACAAAAAATGTGCCTGCAGAGGTTCAGGGCTCACCTGGTTTCTTCAGCCAGGAAACCATCTCCTGCAAAATAAAGCAAAGGCACGTTTCGGTCAGCAGAGGGAGCTGTTTCTCAAGGACCTCACAAGCAGGTGCTACCTCAGAGCTGTTCTCAAGAAAATTCTACCACAGGCTCAGGACTGAACAAAATATACAAATTGCTGGGGTGCGTGAAACACACTCCTGCATTAAATATTCAGTTATTTGAGAGCTTATTAGGGTTCAAGGCTGTGTGGATGTACATCCAGAAATAGTAAGTAGAACTGAACTTCCCGCCACTCTTGCAGAGTACTGAGCTGTAGGCGGACTTTGAGGAACATCTGTGGTCTTGTCCAAGGGAACCTTGGGCCATTACTGAGGCTTATTAAGGACACTTGTGGTCAGAGGTCCAGAGCTCACTATATCCAGCCCATTCCAGGGCATGAGATGTGCTCACAAGAATCTGGAGAGGTGAGTTGAATTGATTACTGAGGCTGGCCATCAGCTGGGGTGTATGAGGCAAGGCTGTGGCAGGGGCTCCACAATGACTCTAGCAATGATAAGAACACAAACCTGGTTTCCTCCAGCAGCGGTGGTAAAACAGCACGGCTATGAGAAGCATGAGAAATCCCCCACAGGTTCCCAAGGCGATAAGGCCACTTTTTTGTCCTGGAATCCCTAAGGAGAAATAACCCCTGTGAGCCCCAGGGGAGAGGTTTAGGGTTTGAAGCCACCACAGAATCCTGGAACATTGCTCAGCTTGGCTGGATCTTGATCCCTGGGAGAGAGGATCTAAGAGAAGAGATGCATGAGGATGCCTGGGGCCAGGTTATGGCCAGAAAAATCACCCTGGGTGGGCTACGGGGGAATGGCAGAGGAAATAACTGTCTCTACCTTCAGTGGTTCATTTTAGAAACCAGCACTTAGGAGGAAGTGTGTATACTTGTACAGATGAGAGAGTTTCAAAAAAGTTTGCGGAAAATGGAATAAAAATCTATTTTGGTAAAAATTTGAAATCCGTACATTTCTCCTTTGCTGATCGTCCCCTTCCCCAGGCTGAGCCTTGAAAAGGCACTGAAATGATATTGGCCCAGCCCTTCTCTGCTGGGAATGACACTCTAGGCTTCCGTTCTCTCAGCTGCTCCCATACTGAGAGGCAGACCCTTCAGGGGAACCTCGTTCTGGGAAATCATCTCAGTCCCCTGATCTGGGGGAAGCCCCACTTCATCACAGGATTTGCCTCAGTGGAGCTGAAGGGAAACTCGAGCAGCTGGGCCTTGTGCATAGCAACTCCCTCTCAGAGCATCTAAGTCATTCAGGTTCCTGGGGATATGGGAAAAGGCAGCTAGCTGAGCCGGAGGTCACAAAGCATGAGGCCCCACTCCATGTTTCTATCCTGCTTGTCAATCAGAGTATCCCTTTTCTCAGGATGCCTTGTTTTCATCTGGGACCCGGGGGGAAGTCACCATGTATATAAGCTCCACATAGAATTTTATGGAGGCATCAGAAAATTTCCAGATGACCACATTACCTCATAAACAGAAGTGCTAGGAGGTGTTTGTCCCATCTTTGTTGGACAAGACTGAAAGAGGTGATGAGCTGCTCCTCCTTCTCTCAACTTCCCCTCTCCCACCCCTTTTCTCCCTGTAGGCTGTTCCACTCCTCAACTATGCCCATGTATGTGTGTGTGTGTGTGTGTTCTCACCTTTTAAATAAAATGATTACTTTGTGCCCTGTATATGTGCCTGTGCTTAGAATGCTTCTACAAGTAGAAGGTAAGGAACTGGAATACAACTACATCTCACCTCTCCCACTTCAATGGCTACAAGTGTGATAGTTGACCAGTTGTATAAACAGTACAGTTCTCTGATATTTAGCATGGTTGATACTTGACCATGTGGCACATCTTAGGAGAACATTTACATTGCTTTCTCTCTCTCTCTCTCTCTCTCTCTGAGCTAAATGATTGCACCAAGATTCAAATCTGGGCTGCCATGTATAAGCTCCATGATGTAAAGTAACCACAACTCTGAGGTCATTCGCTTCCCTTTTTTTTGTAGAAAGTAGATAATAATATTTCTATATTCTAGGATGGTTACTATGATCAATGAAGTTGATGTGCACAAAATTAATTCATTCAATAAGTGGTTAATGAAAGCTGAGTTGAGTCAAACACTCTTACAGGCATATGGGATACAGTAGTGGTTAAAAAAATGGCCCACTCTTATGAGACTAATATGAAAAGCATGGAAGGAGTGGGAGAAGGCAGTAACAAACAGGGCACACAAGGCAGAGCAGTTGATGACAAGTGCTGTGGAGAGAATCAAGCAAGATCAGGAGGGCAGAACTGTGGTGAGAGCTGCTGTGCTAGGAAGTATGATTGAGGCAGGACTCCCTGAGAAGGTAAGCAAAGCTCTGGAGGAATTAAGGAAGTGAGCTTGAGGTTACTGGGGAAAAGCTACACAATGGCTCTGACCTAGAGAATACCTGAGGAGTTTGAGGGAGAGACTGAGGGCTGGAGTGTCTGGAGTGGAGAAGGTGAGGGGGAAATGGTGGGGGTAGGTCAAAGCAACAGGGGGCCAGATAATGCTAGTCCTGGTGCGTTGTTGAGAGAATATTGAAGGAGATGGGAAGCAAAGGGATGCCTTGAGCAGAACAGTAAACAGATCTGCTTTAAAGGTTCCCCTTCCTGAAACAGAAGACCAGCTATTATTGTAATAATACAGGCAATGGATACTGGTGGATTGAACCAGGTGATGGCAGTGGAGTTGATGTGAAATAGTGATATTTTCGCTGTGTTTTGAAAGTAGAGCCACCAGGACTTACAGGTATATTGGATGTGGAAGATGAAATACAAGCAGTTAAGAATGATGCCCATATATTTTACCTGTGGCACTAGAAGAAGGGCATTTTACATTTACCCGGAGGAAGCTCTAAGCAGGAATCTATTTGGGGTGAAAATCAAGAGTTTAGTTTTGGGAAAGTTAAGTTGCAGATACTAATGAGCTACAGTTGTGGAACACCTGACTTAAGTACTTTGGTCTAACAGTTGAGTTCAGACTGCAGGTCTAGGCTATAGGTTGAGTGTGGAGTCATAAGTATATAGAGTCATATGTGCATGCAAAATCTTGAGACTGGATGAGATGATCACAGGCACGGGGAATGTCCAGCCCACAGGCCACACAAGACCTGAGAAATTGTTTGGTCTGGCCCTGCCAAGATAACTGCAGGTGGAACTCAAAAACCCAATAAATCTGCAGCAGCCTAATTTTAAAAGTTGATTTTTTTGTATGGCCCATGAATGACATTATAAAGATACACATGACGCTTGGCAGAAACAAGTCTCTCCACCCCTGGTCGAGAGAGTGTGAAGACAGTCCAACGTCAGAGCCCTGGGAGTCTCAAAATGCAGAGGTTAGAAGTACAATGAGGATCCAGAAAGAAAACCTAATAGGGTGTCTGATGGGTAGGTAGAGAACCAAGACAGAATTGTGCTTCAGATGTCAAGGAACAAAGTGTTTTAAGGAAGCAAGGACCAGTTCTGTTCAAAGGCGGAGACAGGTCAAGTAAAGCAGAAGCTAAGAATTCCCCATTGATCTTAGTAGCATCAAGATCACTGGCGATGTTTGCAGAGTAATTCTGGTGGAGAAAGCCAAGCCTGATGGTGGTTGGTTTGAGAGAAAATGAGACAAATGAAGAACGTGAATATAGATCACTCTCTTGAGGAGTTTCTCTGTGAAGAAAATCAAGTTTTTCAGTTGCCTGTCAATGCAAGCTAACTTTATTGGGTGTCCAGGGATGCAGCTCAGTCTGCAACAGAGAATGACTGAAGCCCAGCACAGATCAATTCCTTACCAGGGTGTTGCTGGGTGAGAAGCTGACTTAGTTCACTGTGGCTTTTTGGAGGGCAGAGGAAGAGAAGAATGGTGTAAGTTTGCAATCTCAAAGTAAGTCTTCTCCCTTCTAAGGGCAGAACTGTGCTGTTTCTGCTCTCTGTACTTGTAAGTTTCCCGACCTGCATAGAATTTGATTACTGAGACTCCCTCAAACCTACAGTATTCAAGAAAGGAATGCTTAAACCTTTGATTCTGTTGGACTCAGGGGCACTGTGCTGTGGATGACTGACAGGAGAGGCATAGGGAGCACTTGGTTGTGAGAGAGCTGGGCCACAGCAAAAGGTGCTGTTAGTGAGGTGAGGGTGCTCTTTGAGAGTAACAACCAGTGGATTAGAGCACAGACATACAAAATCTCCAAGAGGTGAAATGGCTCCTGGCCAGAAGCCCCTCACTGGAATACCTTACTCTGATTTGGGTTATGGATATTCTAATGGAATAAATTGTCTATCACAGGGAGGACAGTCAAATAGGGACCAAAAAAGGAGAGTCATAAAAGTGGCATTGTCTATGTCTACTCCCCACTTGAGGAAGTTTGCTGAGAGTAAGTAAGGCCACTGTTTATTACAGCTCACCTCTCACAGTGATGTTCACCATCCCGCTCTGGACGGGGCCGTAGCTGTTGTCAGCTGTACAGTAGTATCTCCCGGAATGGCTTTCCCTGATGTTAGGGATCTCCAGCTCTGCCGTCTGGGAACGCTGAGTTTTCTGTCCCACATGCTGCTTCGTGTTCTCTTTGTGCCAGGAGAACGTGGTCTCCCCTGTACCTTCAGCCACAGAGCAGACAAGGACCAACTTCTCTCCTTCAACTGCCTGGCCGTCTGGGGGCTGAATCTCTATGGACACCTGAGACACAGGGATCCCTGCGTGAACAGGAAATTGCAGGTGAGGGCTAAGCGTTGGGGAGTGGGTATCCAACAGTGTCATTTTTTCCTTTTTTTGTTTTTAAAGTTTTTTTAAAAAAAATTTACTGGAGAGGTAGAGTTACAGAAAGTGTGTGTGGGGGCGGTCTTCCATCCGTTGGTTCACTCCACCAAATGGCCGCAATGGCTGGAGCTGAGCTAATTCAAAGCCAGGAGCCAGGAGCCTCCTCTGGGCCTCCCATGGGAGTGCAGGGGCCCAAGCACTTGGGCCATCTTGCACTGCTGTCCCTGGCCATTAGCAGAAAGCTGGATCTGAAGAGGAGTAGCTGGGACTAGAACGGGATCAATCTACTGTGCCACAACTCTGTCCCAAACAGGGTCATTTTTCTTGGACTTTCAAGATATATCTTTCATAGATAATAGACTATAACCAAATATGATCAGATTTCAATCCTTATACAGAGGACTCCATGAGAGAAAAACTGGCTATCCCTGCAGAAGCATTTGGGTTTTGTAGGATATCCTGGCAGATGGTCTGAACTGTTTTGAGGGCCAGCTAATAGCAACAGTGGCCATCAAGGCTGTAGGCTGGACCTCATCAGTTTCCAGAAGTTCTACTTTAGCACTCAGGTCTCTTAGCACTGCATTGCTCTTTGTAGATCTCCTCCTTTTCTGCTGTATGCATCACAGGCACTCACATTGCTTGTTGCAGCTGATTAGGAAAAAGCAAATGCTTGTCTTCTAAATAGTTTGCCCCAAGATCTGGCACCCTGGAATCTGCCAGCTCAGCAAGTGGACACAGTCTTTTCTCGTATCTAACTCCACGAGTCACCTGTACCTCTTCCAGGTGGCAGAGTTTGAAAGGAATACTGAATTTTTAGGGAAATAGAGCTGGGAAAGAAATGTTGCATTTCTGGTATTACAGTTTCTCACTTTGCAGTCTAAGCCCGGTGCCTCTGTGAGGATAACCAAACCCATCACTGTTAGACATTCCCCAACCCAACAGGGCTGAAAGCGCAGGGAGTAGGCAGGGAGGATACTCAGCCGCCCTGGCCCACCTGGCTCTCCCACACTCACTCTGCACATGGATCTCCAGTGGGAGGCTGCGCTTGTAGACGCTGTGGGTCACCGTTTCCGCACCACACGTGTACTTCCCTGAGTTTTCTCTCCAGATGGTTGGGATCTGGATCTCTGAGGAGTTGCTCCAGTCGGAGAGGATGGCCTTGTCATCTCGGAAGAAGATGAAGTGGAGTGGAGTGTCCAACCGTGCTGGAGGAAGCCGTGTTTCACAGCTCAGATGTACAGGATTCCCCTCTGTGGGCTGAGGGTCTGTGGCTTTCAGCTTTGGATCTGGAAATAGTTCTAAGGGGAAAAGGTCAGGCAAGCTCTCAGCACCCTGGGGATTTAGCACTCAGGCAGAGGCAGGCTCAGAGTCTCAGTTTCAGGAAACTCCAGGCACACGGCCGGACAAGCTCATCAGGCTCTCCATCAGAATTTTCTTCCTTGGGTTGATTCCAACCCAGTTATTCCACGTTCTCTGCCTTCTAAAGGCCTTTTGCCTTTCATGGACGTAGAGTTCCAGTATTAAACCATAAATTCCCTCCAGACATGCCCAATTTACTTGCCCTGATGTTGCTAAGTGAATCAATATGAAACAAAGGGTTTACCTTGAATTTTAATAATTTTAGCATCTGACTTGAAAACAGTATTTTTGTCTTCATATCCCCAGCATTCGTAGGTGCCACTGTTATTCAAACTTGCTTGTGGGATGAAAAGATCCAAGCCTAGATTAGAATCCTTAGAATCAAAGACAGTTTCTCCATTCTGTTTATATTTTGCAGCAATCAGTTTATCTTTCCCCCTTTTCTGGCATCTCAGAATCAATGTGTCCCCTTCAAACACAAGATGAGGGGCCTGAAGGATGATAGGGCCTGCAAAAGACACAGAGGTGACATCGTTCAAGGGCTACCTCCTTCTCTATGTCTCTTGATTTACAGAGACTTCACTGTCTTCTATCCTGGGATTTAGTTTGGTTACCCAAGCACATTCATCTCCTTTCAAATCAGCATGAAAGAAGTTGGATACAATTTGTAACAAAACCCTAAACACATCTATTCAATCATTTAAGGGCAGTTTCAAAATATTAACATTCTAACATTGAGAAGAAAAGCCAAAGTAGGTGTGAACAAAATCCCTGACACAGAATCAACTCTGATCTGCTTAGCAGATCTGAGCAGGAGCTGTCAAGGAAGGAACATTTGCAGAAATGTACAAGCAAGCATTACAGTGTGTGGGAGACGTTATGCGGCAGGGCTGTTGTCAGAGATGCAAATCCAGGTACAAGGGACAGGGATGTGGTCCTCTCTAGAGATTCTCATGCTGTTCAGATTCTAATTTGAAGATAGCTCTACCTTTTCTCTTCACTGACTGTGGTGAGTGCCTCCTTCCATGAACCATGCCAGGGGACATGATTCAAATAATTTCTTTACTTCTGAACTGGAAAAACTGCTCAGGGAAAGGCCTGGGAGTTCAGAGGGAAACGTGGGGATGGAGAAGAGAAAGATGCCAGGGAAAGTGGGGACAAAGGCCTGAGGTTGGAGATTTCTCTCCTCTGAACCCCTTATGGCAGTTTTTGCTTTCTGCTTTGGGCTCCATACATTCCTGTGTATGTGTTACTTTTTTCTGTTAATGAGGTCGTAAAGCCTGCTGGGCAGGATGTCAGACCAGCAGCTCTAACTATAGCAGAATGCCACAGTCTTCATTGGCTTTAAATACAGTCTAGAGAGTTATCTAGGGTTGGAGTGACTTCCTTGTTTCAAAAACAGAACTCACCGTGCCTGCTCCCACCCCAATGCCCAGACACAACCTACTGTAGTACAGCCATTGCTAAACTCTATTCTGTATCAGGGAGAGCTTCATTTTTATATTACCTTAAAGTAACTAATTTCCTTGACTTTCTAAGTATGCAAGAATGTGTGTTGATCAATGGTAAACATTTAAACTTGAGTTTCAAAAGTAGTTTGGAAAACACTTGTAGGCAATGAGAGAATGTGAAACTGAAATAGGTGAGGTCAAAGGTCAAAGAGGGAAGTCCCGGGAGCTGAATTAAACCAAAATTGTGCTTACGAATTCACAATCTTTCTCACCTGTTACAAAACGCAAGGACACAGGGTCACTTGGAAGTGAGCCCTGGACCTGGCATTTGTATTCTCCGGATTTACAGACCACAAGGGTGTTTCCTGGGTGTTCTGTTTGTGTATTTTCCCTACCATCCTTATAGAACCACGTTGTGTTCTCTGGAGCATAGAACTGAAATCCGTTGCAGATCAGATTCACTCTGTCTCCTTGGAAGACTGTGGTCCATGGCGGATGAAGAGAAATCACAGACGTGGGCGTAGTTACTGAGGAGGAGAAGAGAGGTGAGTCTGGGGTGGAGGGGCCTGCAGTTCCAGCTGCATGGTCAGTGTGAGACAGACCGGAAAACCTAGCTTTGGAGAGTCCCCCAAAATCCCCGAAGGAGGGCTGCTGTTTCCCTAGGTTGCCAGTCTGCCAACTCTGCTCACCTTGCCCCAGAGTGCAGTGGCTTCCCTGTGGTCCACAGGAACAGGCTGGCCTTTCAAAGGGCGATCCTAGCAGCATACACTCACTGTTTGTGGATGATGGGCGGCTCATGGACCAGGCCCCCAGGTAGGTACTTGAGAATTGCTGTTTCTCTTAGACTCCTACCGGGGCTCCTCATGTTACAGAGACCATTCTCAGCTCAGGGTTTGTGTGTGAGGGCTACCAGAACATACATCCCCAATCATGCCTTTTTGGCTTATGGATTATTTTAAGCTAAGGGCCACAAAGAGCCACTGGAAGTTAGGGAGAGCTCTAAAAACAGGACATGGGTTTTCCTTTTGTGTAGGAAATTTCCAGTTTTAAAATTTCTCCCTCTCCTGTACCAGGAAGAGGAGACCTCTGGATGACTCTTAGCAATGGGGAGACATTGACTTAAGCCTTAGTAATAAACCTTACTAAATAGCCTCTGTTACCATATTTTTCATGGTCAGTTCTCTACAACTGACCTCCTGTACTCAGAAGCTCCAAATTGCTTTTCCCTTGTTTAGCCCAAGATGGTATATAATCCTCAATCACCTGCTCACCTTCTGGAATCATGTTATTTTTTGGTAAATTCCCCTGTGAATATATGTAATTAAAACTGTTTCTTTCACTTGTTAATCTCTCTTTTACCAGTTTGATTCATGGGCCATAGCCAAGAAGCTAAGATGAGTAGAGGGAAAACTCAGGTTTTTTTCTTTTTTTTCTTTTTTTTTTTTTCTTTTTGCTACATGTGACATGGGCTTTTGGTGAGCTGTGGATTGGAGATGGAGGAAGTATAGAAATTTTGGGGTCGATTATAGAAAATGGTCAAAATTGAAGTGGGTATGGGGGAAGCAAGCAGGCTGTTGTCTGGAGTGAAAGAGCCATCCAGACAGCTACAAAAAGAGTGCAGGGAGCCAGGTGCTCCTCAGCCCCCAAACAGCAAAGACACTGACTGGTGACAATAAAATATTGATCTCATACAAAATTGGGCCCTTAAATTCTTGAAATATTCGTGGGCAGAACCTGGAGGATGTAAGTGTAAACACAAATTGAATACAAAAAGCTTCATTCTCCCTGCTGAAAACAAACAATGGCACTTTCACTTTCTGGGCCCTTTTCAAACTAACCCCCGGTCAGTGTCCCAACTCCTGGGAGGTAGCTCCCTCACCCCCACCCCGCACCCCCAGGTGCTGTGAGAGGGCAAAAACCTCAGTGTGGTGCTTGTTTCAGTGTGCAGAACTACCTGCTTGCATACAGCTGTGAGGAGTTTGTTTCTCCTCTGCACAAAAGCCAATTATCTCAGACAGGTGAATAGCAAAGGGCCTCTTACTAAGGACCACTTATTCTTTATCCTCCTGGGGGCACAAAGAGCTGAGATTCCCTTCTGTCTTTTCAGTGGACTGCCTGTGATGCACATCACATTCTGATTTAATGCTTATTAAATTATTTACTTTTATCTGAAAAGATTTATTTTATTTATTGAAAGGCAGACTTACAGAGTGATAGCAGTAGAGACACACACACTCTGTAGAGGGAGGTCTTCCATCTGCCAGCTCACTCCTCCAACAGCCAGGGCTGGGCCAAACCAAGGCCAGGAGCCAGGAACTCCATCCCAGTCTCCTACATGGATTATAGCGGCCCAAGCACTTGGACCATCTTCTGCTGCTTTCCTAGGTGCATTAGCAGGGAACTGGATTGAAAACAGAGCACCAGGACTGGAATTGGTGCTCCGGTATTGTACGCTGTCCCTGTAGGCAGCGGCTCAGCCTGCTGTGCCACAACGTCAGCCTCTCAAATCATAGGTTTTCTTTCTCTATGACTTTGTGGAAGGGATCTCTGGGTTGAGAGAAGATTTTGTGCTTAATCATATTTCCCCAGAGAGCAGGTGTTACTGAGGCTCTTTTTAATCTAGATTTTTTTTAAAATGTGTAGCTATGAGCCTATGAGGGCTAACAACCAAACTGATTACACTCAAATTATTCACTAATAGACGTGTTCATACAGACATTCTTCCTGATTTAATGCTACTCTCTAGCCTGTGGAAAGACGAGTGCTTTCGATGAGTTACAAATACACAATGATTCCATTGCAGGTTCTTCTCAAGATGCAGCAACTTGTGAAGCTGGTGAAAGTTATGTAGGGACAGGCACTTGGCCCAGCAGTTAAGACGCCAGCATTCCACACTGGAGAACCTGGGTCTGATTTCCTGGCTCTGCTCCTGCTTCCAGTTTCCTGTAAGACAGACCCTAGGAACCAGATGGTGATGGCTCAAGTAGGAGGGTCCCTTTCACCCACACGGCAGGCCTGGATTGAATTCCCGGTGCCTGGTCTTGGCACTGGTCCAGCCCCATCATTGCAGGCTTTGGGGGGAGTGAACCAGCAGATGGGCACGCGCTTTGTCTGCCTATCTGTTTCCTTTTCTCTATCTCTCTGCCACAGCTCTGACAGCTCACAAAACCACCGGGGAGTGAGGTAGAGCAAGACTGTTATCCCTGAAAAAAGAAAAATCAGTAACAAGGAAAATGCTTGCCTGCCTCTTGAAAGTTAGTTCCAGTGTTCTCTTCCCCTAGCCTGCTACCTACCAACAGTTTTCAAAAAGTGAGACATTAATTTCCCAGTTACATGCTCCAGGTCTGGATAGAGAGATGGCAGAGGAACAAAGGTTGGGGTGGATTAGAGAATAGAGGTACCAAGGGAAGTTTTTTCCTGATGTTGAAAGAAGAGAGGTACAGAGGAAGTTCTTGGGTTCTTGGACAGCTTCTGTTCCCTACTCCGCCTGCCTTCTCTCCTACCTTAAACACAGGATGCTGAAAATGGTGACAGCCACTATATTTAAAAAAAAATCAGTGTTAGGTGCATACTTTGTTCTACAAACTACCTAAGGTAATCTGACTTCTACAAAGCAGAAAATGAAACAAGTATTTCCATTTGTATTATTTTTCAAAAATAAGCATCTCATTTCTGGGCTGTGCTATTAAACATAGCACTTTTAAGTGGAATCACTAAACGCATTTTCTTCCTGGTACATTTTCTATTCAGATAAGGGGAACTGTTTACATTTAAAAGCTTATCAACAATTGCTTTTTTAAAGTCTGAGACTTCAAATATTCTTACCTTTTTCTGAAAGAGCTGCCCACGTGGATCTTTCAGTTATATTCAAATGTAAAGGGAATATTGTCTCTTTTTGGGAGCAAAATTTGTAAAGTAACCCAAAGGTATGTTTTAGATAAAGAAACTAAATGTTTTTGGGGATATTAAACCATTCATAGCCTTTAAAAATACCCTCTGCTTAAGGATTTGGACAGAATACTGTGTCCCAGTGGTAACTGGGTGTGTTTTCTCTCTGAAGAGAACAGAAATTCCCAGCAGCTACATACCTGGGAAGCACTTGGGGAGAGAAAAATGGGAAATCGGCCAGTGGGTCTTCTACTGGAGAGGAGAACTTCCATCCTGCCGCTTGGATCTCTTTGGCCCCTACTCTGTGCAGGTGGCCCTGTGGCCAGGAGGAGGCACCTCTTGTCAGGACCTTCATGAAGCTGCCACCAACCTGGAGGCTCTGAGATTAATCACATCTAGTAGCTGATGTAAGGCACTGTCTGTCTTATTTCTCTTTCTGAGGGCCAGCAGCAAAGTCTTGCCAGGTTACAGTCTTATCTAAGGGAAGCAGGGATGTATGGGAAATGGTCTTTGTCTACACGCTGATGGGTGTATTACAGGAAACCCAGGAACCACAGGAGACAGTGCACACTGAGAGAGCTGTGGCTCTTGCTGACTTGAGTGAGGACAGCAGACAGCCCCCTGAAAGCATGTGGTGGACATCAAGGCTTCCAACATGCTTTGCCTGAACTCCTGTGAGACAGCTCCAAGTGGAAGACAAGACTGTGGACACTAGATGGATAGGGCCTTAGAGTCATTATGACTTGAACTATTAACAGAAAAATGTCTATGCAGAATGCTGTAGCTTGGACAAATTAAGTACCCATGGTTAGGGACAAGATTGTTGGGGCCTAGCCTCTTCCTTTGAAGTAGTGGCTTATTTTGGCCCCGGCCCTCAGTGTTGATGCATTCTGTAAGGCTCAGACCGAGTTGCACCTCTTCCTCCTGTGACCTCTGTGACACATATCCCAGCCCCTGCATGTTCATCCATGATGGTGGGTTTGATCTTAGAGAGGAGCCCACTCACCCCCGATAGCCTGACTCTTAGGGTCAGAGTCACCAGAATGACTGAGGTGTTGACATTTCTACAACCCTCAGGAAAAGGATCAAAGGGACGATGGGGCCTCATCTTACCAGTATCTGAGATAGAGGATAAGGTGTCTAACAGAGAAAAAAGGGAGGATACTTACCAAATTGTCCATTGACTAGAGCTGCAAGAGAGTCAAGAACCAGTCATCAGCATAGGTGAGGGGTCCCAAACCATGTTCCCCAAGAACCCATCCCAGAGAAGCCAGCTCAGGCTCTGCCCCAAAGCTCAGGCAGTGACTCAGGTATCCTGATTTGAGTTTGAGCTGTGTGACTCTGGGAAAATATAAATTTCCAAGATTCAGTTTCCTCATTTGATAAATGAAGATTGTCAAAGCAACCTTAGAACAAGATTGTGCTGAGTTACATTAGTAAGTCCTCAGTGCTTGCTGTCATTATCATTTTAAACATGGGACTGTGGTTGAGTCCTGGCTCTGCTTCATCTTAGGAATCTTCTTGACTTTTGCATGAAGCACCACCAAGTCATACCTATGCATTAAGACCCAGATGGGGGACTGGCATTGTGACATAGCTGGTAAATCCACCACCTGCTGTGCTGGCGTTCCATATGGGCAATGGTTCATATCCTGGCTGCTTCACCTCTTTTTTTTTTAAGATTTATTTATTTACTTGAAAGTCAGAGTGACACAGAGAGAGGAGAGGCAGAGAGAGAGGAGAGGCAGAGAGAGAGGAGAGGCAGAGAGAGAGAGAGAGAGATAGAGAGAGAGAGAGAGAGGTCTTCCATCCTCTGGTTTTCTCTCTAATTGGCCACAGTGGCCAGAGCTGCGTCTATCCAAAGCCAGGATCCAGGAGCTTCTTCCAGGTCTCCCACAGGGGTGCAGGGGCCCAAGGACTTGGGCCATCTTCTATTGCTTTTGCAGGCCACAGCAGAGAGCTGGATAGGAAGTGGAGCAGCCGGGACTTGAACCGATGCCCATATGGGATGCTGGCACAGCAAGTGGAGGCTTTAATCACTATGCCACAGTGCCAGCCCCTGCTCCACCTCTGATCCAACTCCCTGCTATGGCCCTGGAAAAATAGTGGAAGATGGCCCAAGTATTTGGGCCCCTGCCACCCACATTGGAGACTTGGATGACACTCCTGGATCCTGGCTTCAGCCTGGCCCTGTCCTGGTCATTGTGGCCATCTGGGGCATGAACCAGCAGATAGAAGATCTCTCCCTCTCTCTCTTTGTGTGTGTGTATGTGTGTGTGTGTGTCTATCATTCTCTGTAACTCTGACTTTCAAATCAATCAATCAATCATAAAAAAATAAAAAGACCCAGATGCAGTCACACCTTCTCTGTGAAGCCTTCTGAGATGCCTCTATGCTGAAGCAACCTCCCTCTTTTCTTGACTCAGGACACTATCATAGCTTATTTGGAATCATGACTGGAAATACAGTGTGGGGTAGGGGTTAAACACCTAGCTTCCAAAGTCAGGTTGAGAGTTTGAACCCTGATTCTGCCACTGTACTAGCTGCATGAATCTCAGACATGATATTAAAGTCTCTGTGCTTTAGTTTCCTGTTTTATAAATGGAAGTAATAACAGTCCTAGTTCATTAATTGTCCAGTAATTTCTTAAATTAATACATGAACTATTCTTTTTTTAAAAAAATATTTTTTCCTTGAAAGGTAAAGTTCAGAGAGAAGTGGAGAGACACATAGAAAAAGAGATCTTTCATCCATTGGTGCACTCCCCAAATGGTTACCATGGCTGGGGCTGGGCCAGGTTAAAGCCAGGAGCCAGGAACCCTGGGTCTTCAATGTGGGTGCAGGAGTTTAAGCACTTGGGCCATTTTCTGCTGTTTTCCCAGGCACATTAGCAGGGAGCTGGATTGGAAATGGAGCAACTGGGACTCAAACCGGTGCCCACAGGGGATGCTGGCATTGGAAGCAGCAGATTAACCTGCTAAGCCATAATACCATCCCCAAAAGGGATATTCCCAGAAGAGTGTCTGGGGCATACTTGTAATTAGAAACCAGCAAGGATAAGTTGTCACACACAATCCTATGACCCATTGTGTAATACTTTTCTTACACTGCCAAATCAAATATTCTTGCACTCATACTTGGATCTCCTAATCAAAGTGATGGCTCTTGTGGGCAGCAGCTCTCTCCTAGATGTCTCTGTTGTATAATGCCACGTATATTCATCCATTCACTATTAACTGAGTTCCCTTAAGGTGCCAATCACACTAATAACTCTTCCTTCAGTTAAGGTCTTAGATATAGCTGGGACAAGACAAACACACTTAATACATATTTAGTGTACAAAAGATTAACTGTTATTTGAATTCCCTAGCCTGAATTTCTAGGAATTCAGTGCTCATGTGGACAAATATTGACAAGGTGTACCGAAGTGGAGAGTGGGGGATGTGGGGAACCAAAGAAAAAAATCATTTCATTTCTTCTCATGTTCTTTTCAATCACCACAGCAGGTTAGATCTTAGGAGAAGGAGAAGGAAATAACTACTCTAGCTCACAGTTAGGATATGGTCCTTTCCACATGGAATTTAACTCATCTTTCATCCTGGATCTCTAGGAGCTATGATTTAAGCAGGTAACTGAATACAGCAGTAATTTTGTTTTGCTTTGTTTTCACATGAATGAAAAGTTCGCTTTAGAGTAGGAGGGGTTTTTCCTAGGCAATTAAAAACAACAGTGGATGAGGACCACACCTTTGGGAACTAATGATTATTTCCCTTCATATCAATAAACCCATATCATCCCTCCCTTGCTTATTTTCTGCTGTTCTGAAATAGAAATAAAAGTCTACGACTGCAGCATTTCAGAAGAGAAGCTTTTGCTATGTTGGGAGCCCAGCTTTGTAGCAAGCAGAAGTTCCTCCTTGTCACTTACCGGGGACCAGCAAGGAAGCCCACAGCAGCATGGACGTCTTCTCCAGGGACTGGAGGAGGAGAAGCTCTTAGGAGGCAGGCCAGTTCCACCCAGATCACGAGAGCAGTGCCCAGACAATGAACCCGCGCTGGCACTGGGAAGTGAGTAAGGTGCTCATCAGAGAACAGTGGGTCACGTCAATAAAGTGAAAAGGGGAAGTAGAACCTTCCTTCAAACACCAAGCACCATGTGACCCAGGGTGAGAGAATCTGGAGTACAAAAATCAATATTTGATAGAATTATGTAAGTAATGAGCTGACATCCTGGCATGAAGAGCTTCTCAAGGCTTTAACTGTCACGTGTTCCAAATAGTTCAGCCTCTGTCTTTCTGAGAAATCACAGTTTCATCCTCTCTGCCACCAGATACCAGGCAAGACTGTGGTTCCGTTGCGAGTCACATAATCCAAGAATGTACCTGAGACGCTCCAGGGATGGAGATGTTCTCATTCAATGCAGGAACACCCTCCTCCAACCTCTGCTGTCTATGTCAGATCACCTTCCGCTGGCCATCCACACACCTGATGAAACCCTTCAGCCGTCAGACAACTCCCACCTTGTCTCACATATATGAAAATGTCCTGACTCATCTGTCTCAGGGGAAGCCACAGCTGTGATCTGACCTGGAATCAAACTGACGAGAAAATTACAGCCCTGTCAAAATCTTCTTAGACCATCAAGCATCATTGTTAGATTTAAAAAAAAAACTTATTTGTTTGAATGATGGAATTACAAAGAAATAGGGACACACACACACGAGAGAGAGAGAGAGAGAAAGAGAGAGAGTGTGTGTGAGACACAGAGATCCTCCATCCTCTGGGTCACTCCCAAGACAGCTGCAAGGGCCAGGGTTGTGCCAGCTTGAAGCCAGGAGTCAAGAGGTTCATCAGGGTCTCCCACATAGTTGTCAGGGGTCCAAACACTTGGGCTGTCTTCCGCTGCTTTTCCAAGGCCATCAGCAGGAAGCTAGATCAGAAATGGGACATGAATCGGCACCCACATGGGATGCTGGTATCACAGGCAGAAGCCTTACCTGCTGTGCCACAACAGTGGCCCCAAACATGAAGTTTTTGTTTAAGGTCCCAGAATCAAAATCTTCCACAGCAATGTCTTGGGAAATACATGGTGATATGTGTGCATAAATGACTCTTAACCTTCTTGTAAGGGGAGGATAACAGACAGAGGGCAAACTGGGATGTCTGTATTTTTCTGATATAACACAATTTTTTATAACATCATAATAGTTTATTTTTCTGGCTGAGGTTTGTATTGAACATCAACTATATTCCAGGCAATGCCCATGATCTTTTATTATAAAAGAGGGCTCCCAGCAGACATAGGCACCGGGCACCACAGGGACATACAGAATATCAGATGGCACTCAGGTTCTCCTTGCTCTGTGACTTTCCAGTCATCTTTCAGCTCCCTTGTCTCTGCCTAATAAGAGTTGTATGACTTTAGCTCCTGTAGATGTCAATTTCACACTGATAAAAAAGAGATTAAAAATAATCCCCACTTCAAGGGTATGTTGCTGTTGCTCCATGGAAAAATCAATTATGGTTGTAAAACTCTTGGTCCAGTGTCTGGGACAATGTAAACACTCAAGAAGTAATAACTATGATGAACTAGATATTCTGTCACATTTGAAATCCTAACTACAATCAACTGAAAAGAACTTTATAATTGGTATAATATTCTATCAATGTTTCTGTAGCCCTTATCACCCCAGAAAAATATTTTACATAAGTTTAGAGTTCAAATATTTATTAATTAAATAAGGATTTTGAGGAAGTTGTAATTGCATTGCTTATTTTCTTGTTTCTAGCCTCAATTTTGTTGAATGAGTGAATTTCAATCTTTAATATAAAATTTGACATTTATGACATTATAGATGTCCCAACATAACAATCATGTTTGTTTACAAATGCCAGGTAAAAGTTTAGTTTAAGTAAGTTGAGTGCACTGGTTTTGTTGTTGCATTTGAGTCACAGTTATTGATGCCAAAAGTGTAGTTTCACTTTTAAACATTGGCTATGGATAGCATGATTTATTAAGCAATTTATTGACTAATCAGGGATAATTTTTATTTTTTTATATTAACGAAAGGTAAACACACTTGCTTTTTTTTCTTAAAATGTATTTTTCATTTTAATCGAAAGAGAGCAAGAGACAGACAGACAGATCGCTTTCAACAGCAGGTTCACTCTCCAAATGCCTGTAGCATCCAAGTCTGGGGAAGCCAGGAGCCTGAAACTCCATCTGTGTCTCCCACACGAATGGTGTGGATCCAAACACTTGAGTTGTCATCTGCTGCCTCCTAGGCTGTGCATTAGTAGGAAGCCGAGTAGTCAGGACTCCGACCAGGCACTTTGCTATGGGATGTGGGCATCCCAGTGGTGGCTTAACTGGTATGCCAAACAAATGTGCTTGTTTTTAGTGACAATGTAAGAAACTGAAAGCTCTATACTTTTCATATATTTGGGGTATGCATTTGGCACAGTGGTTAAGACAACATTTGAGACACTCATATTCCACATTAGAGTGCTGGCTCTGTTTGCTATCCAGCTCTTGCTAATGTGCACCTTGGGAGCCAGCAGCTGATGGCTAGAGTACTTGCGTTGCTGCTACTGACATGGGAGACCTGGACTGAATTCCACCCTTCTGGCTTTGGCCAGGTAGCATCATTTGATGAGTGAATCAGTGGAAGGATGCTTTCTCTCTGTCTCTTTGCCTTTCAAATAAAAATGATTTTTTGAAAAAGAAAACATCTAAAACTGTACCTTTTAAAAATTAAATTTTAATGTCATTGTTTGCAACAAAATGGATGCAAGTGGAAACCACTACACTTAGTGAAATAAGCTGATCCAAAAAGACAAACAGTTTTTTTTTTTTTCCGTTTTACACTATTTGTTGAACTCTTCACTTAGTGTAGGGTTAATCTTATGTATATAAAATTAATGCAAAATAGATTTTTGTAAAAAATAGGAATGAGAATAGGAGAGGGAGGAGAAAGAATGGTGAGAGTGTGGGCAGGAGGGAGGGTAAGGGGGGAAGGATTACTATATTCCTCAATTTGTATATATGAAGTGCATGGAGTTTGTATACCTTAAATAAAAGGCTTATAGGTAAAAAAGAAAAGAATTTGAAGGAAGATTAAAAACTATCCCTTTATATATAACATGATAATACATCTGGAAAATAAAAAAAATTAAAATTTAATTTTGAACAATTCTAGATTTACAGAAAATAGCAAAGAAAGTACCAGTTTCAGTTTCTTTTTCTGGTATAATCTCAAATGCTGATAGAAAATTTATCAAAACTCTAAGTCAAACTGATATGTTGCTATTAGCTTAGTTCCAGATGTTTTTCAGCTTTCATCAGTTTTCCCATTAAAGTCGTTTATAGCTTCCAATATCCCACCCGAGATTCTACAGTGCTTTTAGTTATCTCTCCTTCAGCTTCCTGGCCTGTGACAGTTTATCAGCCCTTGTTTTTTTATGAACTTGACAGTTTTAAGGAAAGTGGGCCCGGGGTTTTGTAATGTCTTTCACTTGTACTTTGTCTGATATTTTAGTCATGATTAGAGTGCGGTTGTGAGTTTTCAGAAATGAAGTGACATGTCCTCAAAACATCTTATCAAGGTGTAAGTGATATCAATATGACCCATAGCTGGTGGTATTAATCTTGATAGCTTGGTTAATTTAGTGCTGTCCAGGTTCTTCAATATTGAGTTACTACTTGTCTCCTTTCCATAGTCTTTTATTTGGAAGCAAGTCACTAACTTCAACCCCTGCATGGGGGATGTGATGGGGAGGGGGCTGCCAGGAGGTTTGTCTCTTCTCTCCTATCTATTCACCTATCTATTACTTAATTAAATAGATCATTTATTTATGCTACCATGTACTCTTGTATGTTGTTGAATCTGAGTGATAACACAATGCTATTTTATTGTGTTGCTCAAATTATCCCAACTATGGACATTGAGCTGTCTTTCAGGTTAGTCCCAATGTTTGTGTCCCACCATTGGGACACAATGCTTATGGGAGCACTCCTTACCTCATGGCACAACAAGGTGCTCCAGGCTCATTTGCCTGTCCCAGTTCTAGAATCAGCCAGTTCTCCAAGGATCCCCAGTTTCTTTCAGAGGAGAATGGTAGTTAGAAATCAAGACCTAGGCATGTTCCTTACTCCTGGGAGACAAGTGCACATTGTCAAGTGAAAGGGAATGTGTGATCTTGACAAGGCTTTATGAGTGGAAAAATACTGGACAGGTAATGTGTTGTTCTTGTTATTAATAGTGCTGCCTTGACTCCAAAACCAATGGCTATGTATGCAAGTATATATACTGGTTTCTATAGCCATTTGTTAGTGCTGGAGAAACAATCCCCTAGAATAATCATTGTTGAATTTCAAGGAAAAGGCAGTGAATACACTCAATAAGATTTTCTTGGAAACTAGTGCCACCTGGAAGTCTTGTTTTATTTTCGCTGCCCACAGATAAAGAATATTTCTAGTGTCCAGTGGTAAAAGACTTCCTTCTTTGCTTTTAGAGACTTTTCTTAGATTGTTTCTTGTTCTAAGTTGAAACTCCTCCACCTTCATGAAAACACAAATTGGTTTACTTAAAAGCTGAACCAAAATGAAACCAGGATTGTAGTGAGTGAGTAATCTCTGTTCCAGATCCACAGACTTACACTGACGTGGCAGTGGGGGCAGAATAAACATTAGATCTGAAGTCTGAGGTCTGGCGGTGGTTTTGCTGCAACACTTACAAGTTATGTAAGTTACTTTGCTACTTGGAGACTTTTTATCATACTAAAACTTTCATTTCCTCCATGTTTCTATTTTGATAAGCATTAAACCTTCAGAAAACTGGCAAGAATAACACAGTGAATATCTAAACAATCTTCACTGAGATTCACCAATTATTAATGTTTTGCCAAACATGGTTAGCTTTTTCTGAGGAATGGCCAAGGTATGACTGTGGGATGCATAAGAAAAATGCAGGCTGGCTTGTCTCACTATCGTGCTGTGTGATAGAGAAGGAGGAAGTTTCTGGCTTGGGGCTGGAGACTGTAAACTTGCTTTTCTTACTGAGCCATGTTCCGGTGTGAAATTCCAAGGATTCAGGATTTTATATTTGAATTAGGACTTCCAGGTCATTGTGAACGCATGGGTGTGTCAAGGTAGGAGACAAAGTATACTTTATGAG